GTGAGAATGGTGGGTCCTCCTCCAACTCCCCACCACCAGCAGCAGCAGCAGCAAATATGTTGGTATTTGAGTTTGAGGACCTAGGAGCTGATCTCTTAGATGAGCTCTTGAGCTCATCTTAAAGACCTACTCATGGAACTTGACTCAATAATACATCACTCTTCTCTACTATGCACTTCCATATCATTCATGCCTATCATACTTGCATATATCTTGCTAATCACCTATTACAGCATTACTATATATATATTGTATATGCTCAATGCTCATCTCATGTCTAAATCAAATAAAGCAATTCCATTATTTCTTCTTGTTATTTTTACCTAAAAAACAAAATTGTATATCTATACCGATTTAAATCTAGGACAATTGCTCAAGTACTCATAGAGAGAGCAATTATGTGAGCGAGATTTCATATTCAAATTTATGAAGAAACGCTGATTTACCTTATGGTCTTGATATGCACATGATTTGACTTATAAGTAGATGCCAATATAGTTCGGATGTATTTTTTAAACTATGATCCAATTTTTATCATACCTTTTCAATTGTTATATTCTTTTAATAAAATTATTCTTTGTTGATAAATAAAAAAAATTAAAAAAAAATTTACACATAACTGCTATTTTGTGTAAATATATATACTGGTTTAGCTACTTAATTAGTATAATTTTTTTTATAAATTACATTTTGAGTTTTAATGCATTCAATGAGAACATCGTGGTTCTCTCTAATTTTAGAGTCATCATATTCCTATCTAAACTCTAATTTTATGCCTAATTATCTTAGTCTGGAGGAATAAGATGGTTCTAAAATTTAATACATTTATGAAAACATCTCAGGCTATCATGGAAAACCTCAAATTTTATGCCTTCTTTACAGCCCAAAATTGGGACATTTAATTGCATAAAGAAATTTTTGTAGAGAATAAAGAAACAATGCTCTATGAATTTCCATTAAGGAATAGAAGAGAAAGATTGTTTGGTTTAAGAGCCTCTCAAGTGTTTCAGGTGAAGTTGTGTCTGACAAAAGCAAAATCAAGCTAGATTACTAAAATTTGTAATTTTTCAATGTTTGATACTGTTCTAGTATAATCAAAATATCTTATGTAAGTTGGGAATTTTCTAATAAGATAAAGGAAAATGCCAGTATCTAATCTCTTACTAATTTTATCAGAAAGTTCCTTCACTCTACTATTCTTCTTCCTTTTTGATCAGCTATATTCTTCTTCTTCTTCTATTGCTTATTATTTCTCTTCCTTATTTATTTATTATTTTTATCACTAAATTTCTTTGTTATGTGTCTGTGTATGTAGAGTAGTTGTTGACATTTTATAGTCCTATAATTTGTTGGAATTTTCGACAAGCTCTTGTATCATTATTGAAAAAAATTCTACTGTATTTGAATTTTTCTTGCAACAAACGTTGGTGAGGTTTTCACTTCTACAATGTTTGAGGATTTGTTTCACGTCTTATTATTTGGGGACTTTTCATTTTCTCACCCATAGGAGCTTTTCACTTTTCTTCCCATAGATTAGGATAATTATAGACTCCTTAATGATTATAAATTTCCTTGGAACTATGAAAGATCTTGACTCATTCACACATTCTAATACATTTTCCCATCATTTTAGACCCTAAATATTTTGAAAATTTGAAATTACTTTTCCCAACACCCTAATTAGTAAATTTTAAATATTCATTTTCTAGAGATGTGAAAACTTCTTAAACTCCTTAAACACATAGTTTAAATGCTTTTTCCTCTTGAACTTGAAATCTTCTGAATTTCCAATACTCTTGAAAGAAACAATCTTTGTGGCAATTTATATGGATATGCTTGGCTTCAACCTGTTTTCTTGCATATGCTTTTGAATTTCTTTTTCCCACGAGCTTGCGGTGAATCTTCATATTCTTTCATTTCTTTATGCTTGTTGAACTTTTCTTTCACTTGATCTTGTGGATCAAAAATTTGCTCAATGCTTACACAACTTGTATCAAACATGAATCTCCTTACCAAAGTAAATATTTGAGATTTTTAGATTTTCATTATTCATGCTATCATACAAATATGGCCACATAGCCATTTAGTAGAGAAATCATTTTCTTCTTCAACTTTTTTTTTTTTTTGGGTGGTAGGTGAGAAATCTTTCTGTCTTAGCAACTGCATTATGTTATTGCCAACTTTCATAAGAATTGCATTGTCATGCTTTTCAAATTTTTCATCTTTGACTTATGCAATTTTTTATTCTTTCAATACAACATTTTCATCCACTTCATTTCCTCATCTTTTTTTCTTTTTTCTTTTTTTTTTTAAACTTCTCTTCATTCTTTTCATTTACCATGTCCTCTTCTTTTCCATTTTCACTAACATTTCTACAAATTTTGGACACAATAATCAATTCCTAAAAATATTTTCTCTTAGTTATGAAAAATAAATGAAGTTTTTTTTTTTATTATTATTTAATTTTTTTCATATCTGATTTGGTGACTTCATAATGTTTCCAAACTCTTCTTTATGTATTCATTCTTTAAGTATCTTCGATGCACTTTATTTTTCTTCTCTATTTGTCTAACTAGCAATGGTTTGGGCTTATAATAACATCACACCATAAATTGCATGCTTAAAAATATATGCAAGCTCCAAAAGTTATAATTGAAAAAACACAAAAATTTCAAAATATGTGATCAATTGAATATTGATAAGATGGGCTCACCAACTCGGGGGTGCTGAGGTGTTTGTTTTGTTTCTGTAGTTGGTTCCTCACCAATTCTGGGGGTGCTAGCAAATGATAGGATGGATTCTTTGGTGCTAACTTAGTTGGGATGATTTAGCTCATCGTGATACTTTTGCACTTGCCTCTCTTTATTGGTATATTTTGTTTTGTACCTTATACTATATTCTTACATCAATAAAGTCTCTTTTTTGCTGTTCAAAAAAAAAAAAAAAATGAAAATTAGTAAGACTCGCTTCGCAGCTACACCAGCAACTACGGCTCCAACCTATGGCTCACAAGATGCGGCTCAATTTAGTTAGCAATTAGAGTTTGTTAGGATTGGTTTGTTAGCAAGTTGTTATAATGATCTGTTTTACTCATCTGTATAAATATACACTGTATCTTTTCATAATTAAACAATGAAAGTTTCAATTGTTCAGCAAAAATGATCCATTATTTTCTTTTCTGTTATTGGAATTCGCTAGCTACAAAGACAAACTTGATTCTTCTATAGTAGTTGCTCTATTTTTCTTTTTAAACCTAGTTTATGAACCCAACAAACAGTAATATCACGTTCGAGTTTTTGGCAAGCACTGACACCATTGTTTGAAAATTGGGGCTCCTGGAAGCTTTTCACTATTCTTCTCTTTCGCTTATACAACTCAACTCATGACACATTCATTCTTACACTAGGATAATGTTATACTCACTTCACAATGGTAGACAACCTTAGACCTTGACTTATTACCAACACAATATGACATTTTCTGCATCATTCAAAATATTTTGAAATTAATTTTTCCAACATAATTATTGTAAATGCCTAGAGCTTAAATACATATACATTTTGATCTAATAAACATTCTTTGTGCTATTATTCCTACTACCAGTGGCAGTTTTCCCTCGCTCTATTATTTTTTTTACTTCCCTTATCTTTGATATTATTTTGCGGAGTTTGGAATTCTCAAATACAACTCTTGTTTATATAAGCCTCACTATCTAACTAACTCTGTAACCACCTATCTAACAAACTCAAGTAGCCTGATGCTGAACCATATGTTGATGTACTTGATCTTCTTTAGATTTAGCTAGAGCAGTCTTTGATGTGATGATACACCTATCAAAAACTAGAACTCGAAAGATGAAATAAGGCGAAACACATATTTTAAGAACCATACAAATATTATATGTTTAATTTTAAAATTTTTTATTTTTTTTTCATTTTCTATATTTTTCATGATACTCCGAGTAATGAAACGGACCATTTGGATAAAACTAGCAAAATGCATGATATTGAAGTTTTTAGCCAATTGAATATCAACTAGGGCTTTCTTTATCTCTTTTAAAATTCTTCTTGTATTTTGATATATTTTTATGAGACTATTTATTATCGAATGTATAATGTACTAATTTTTGTACTTTCTAATAAAATAAAATTAAAAAATATATATATTATCTTGCTTTAATGTTGGTTGAAATCTTAATCAAGAAAATTTGACATGGACCTTATTTTTTCACTTAGTTGACTTTGGTACCCGCAGGTGACCCTAGGCTATATATGTTTTGAATCTGAGTAGATGGTAGGCTTGTGGATGTTCCCATCCTAATGCATTATGATGTGACTCATATAATACATGATTTGCCTACAATCTGAAAATAATAATATAAATAATAGTTATAAGTGTATATACAGGGATATAGAACCTCTTTTGCAACTCAAATAGTGATATGTCTTACTAGTATCATTTATTTATGGACAATTTATATGGTATTCCATGTATTTATTTATTTATTTTGGTTTCAATTCATTTCATATAGTTTCAATTTATTTAATTTGACTTAAAATTTTAAATTTTGTATCAATTCAGTCCAATTAACAATACATGTTAAGACAACACGTGACCATTTTCCAAAGATAAAATGTGTATTGTACTACTCTCTCCTTATTCTCTCTACAACACCAACACCAACACCAATGCTACCTACCTCTACCACAAAACATCTAATTGGTACAAGAATTTGCATTAATCATCGCCCTTGCCCTCAGTTGTCATCTAATCTACCTTGATCTGTCACTTATTAAAGAGAATTTGATCTGTTTATTCAACACTTTACAGATAGGTTTACAATCACTATTTATAGAGATAAGCTATTTCTTAACCATAACTCCTAACCACTTAACCTAACCATAACTACAATCCAACTCTAGTTCTAACAAACTAATTACCTCCAAGCTTTAAGTGAACTGCAGCTCATACGGCTACTGTCCTGTATCTGGCTTAGGTTGTTACAGCTGAGGAGATGATGAATCAGCTTTGAATGGATGCTGTTGCAGCTGAGGAGATGATTGATCAGCTTGAGGCTTATGTTTATCAGTCCCCCTCAAACTGAGGGAATTAGGAAAGACCTGAAGTTTGTCCTGAAGATATTGAAATATGGAAACAGAGAGAGGCTTAGTGAGGACATATGCAATCTGATTAGTGGAGGCAATGTGGCAAAAAGCAAGTTTCTTGGCACAACCCTCTCACGAACAAAATGATAGTCTACCTCAATATGCTTGGTCCTTGCATGAAAGACTGGATTGTAGGCCAAGGCTATGGTAGACAAGTTATCACACCATAGAGTAGGAATATCCACAGAAACATGAAGTTTAGCAAGAAGCATGCCAATCCAGCTCAACTCAGCAGAAACCTGAGCTAAAGCATGATATTCATCCTCAGAGGAGGATTTGGAAACTATTGGTTGCTTCTTAGCACACCAAGAGATGAGGTTGGAACCAAGAAACACACAATAGCCTGTAATGGATCTTCTATCAAGAGCACTGCTAGCCCAATCTGAGTCTGAAAAAGCATTAAGAACAAGAAGGCCAGAAGTAAAATGCAGGCCATGACTCAAAGTGCCCTTGAGATATCTGAGGAGTTATTTAACAACAGCAAAATGACTAGTCAAAGGATTTTGTAAAAATTGACACAGATAGTTGACAGTGAAACTGAGATCAGGTCTAGTAAGAGTGAGGTATTGTAGAGCACCCACTAAGCTTCTGTAAAGACTAGGCTGAGAAAAATGAGAGTCCACCTCTGAAAGAGCAACCTTAGTAGCCATGGGAGAAGAATATGGCTTACAGTCACTCATCCCTGCCTTTGCTAAGATTTCATAAGCATATTTCTGCTGAGACAAAATATAACCTGAAGGAGAAGAGGCAACAGAAATGCCAAGAAAATAGTTGGGCAAACCTAACTCTTTCATAGAAAAGGCTGAGTGCATATGCTGAACAAGGACAGAGATATAGAGAGGATCACTCCTAGTGAGTAGTATATCATCCACATAAACAAGTAGAATAGCAATGGAAGTAGAAGTGTGTTTGACAAACAAAGAAGAGTCACAGTAACTAGGAACAAAATCATGGGAAATAATGAAAGAAGAGAAGGTGGAGAACCAAGCTCGAGGAGCTTGTTTTAAGCCATAGAGAGCCTTGTGCAATTTGTAGACAAGTGAGGGATGATTAGCATCAATAAAACCTTGAGATTGATACATTTAAACTTCTTCTTCAAGAATGCCATGAAGAAAGGCATTTGAAATGTCAAGTTGCTTAACAGGCCAATGATAATGAAGTGCTAAACATAATAGAACTCTGATGGTGGGTTGTTTAGCAACAGGACTAAATGTTTCATGATAATCTACACCCTCAGTTTAAAGAAAGCCTTTAGCAACTAGTCTGGCTTTGTGTCTAGCAATAGAACCATCTGAGTTTTTATTTTGTTAAAAGTTGCGCTTTTCGGTAAACCGAGCAAGGACAAAGTGGAATTGAATGAAGGAGAGATGAAATCTTTGAAAAATCTTTCAAAATACCTTACTTAGGGGTTTGAAGTTGAAGAAAAGAGGAGAAGAGGGAAGAAGTCCAGTTGGGGAAGAAAATGGGCATAAATCGTTAAGAGAGAATTGAACAGCCCTGGCCGAATCGGGCCTATTCATTCACATACTTGGAATCAAGCTATGAGGCCACCACCGTTGGAAAGCTTACTCCCGGGGACTCATTTTTCACTCAAGAATCTCCTAAATCCAATTCCGGATAGGGGAGATATGGTTGATTGAAGTAGGGCATCACTCCAGTTGGGACCGAATCTGCGCGGCTTCACGGAAATGGGCATAACTTTTTCCAAAGGAAGAATTTTAATGCAAGGTTTGCGCCATTGGAAAGATAACTTCTGGGGCTTCAATTTGGACACTTGAATGGCCACCATTGGACTTCTCAATCACCCACCGGCCACATTTCTTCCCGGAAGCCCATTTTTTTCTTCCTGAAAAGTAGCAGGCCGACCAGAAATGCCAGAAAATGTAGCAGGCCGGCCAGAAAAGTCAGAAAAAGTAGCCGGCCGGCCACATTTTTCTAGTGGATGATCTTTTTTTCCCATTTAAACTAGCCGGCCATGATCCTTGTCCCAAGTGCATTCTAGCCATGTATTTTGTTTTACACTTCACCCATGTCCGAGGGTTTGGCCCTTTTGGGGGGAAACTTGATTCATTTCCCTCCATTTTTTCCCCTATTTTCCACCTCTTTTTCTTATAAAACCAGCAGCTCCCAGCTGTGTTTGAGGGTTAGAAAAATCACCTTTGAGCCTCTTGCCTTGTATCTCTCTCTCTCTATCTTTCCAAGCTCCAAACCCTCAAGTCCTACACTCATTTCTTCACCAACCCATACCCCCACCCTTCCATCCACCATTCCAGCAGCTGGAGGTTGTTCTTCAGAGCCTAGGAGTGCTGCATCTCAAGCCAAGGGGCTGCCAAAGACAAGTCTTCAAGGGTGAGTCCCTATTTTCTTTTTTTGTGCTTTATTTTGTTCAATACATTAGCCATACTTGCTTGTTGTTTTGGGCTCCGACCCTAACTGGAACTAGGCTTATTTTGAGCTATTTTTCATGTTTTTTTAAGGGCCTCTCACTGTTTGAGGCCTCCTTGTTGCACTTGCTTCATTGCCTCTCTTGTATACCATATTCTTGTGTAGTATTTTTGGCCTATGTATAAATTGTTTTGAGGCATGTCATAAACTGTAAAAGGGCTTATTTTGAGCCCTTCTTCAATGTTGTTGAAGGGCTCATCACTGTTTGAGGCTCCTATCTTCCACTTGCCTTTATATCCCTTTTTTGGCTCTATTTTTGCATGATTTATTAGCCTCTTGTGCTTCTGTTTTTGGACTCTGGTCAGAACTGAAAACAGCCTTGTTTTGACCCCCTCTTCATGTTTCATTAAGGGTCTTTTATTGTTTGAGGCATCCTTTTTGTACTTTGTGTTATAACTCTCTTTTTGGCCTTGTTTTGCATAGTATTTTGAGCATGCTTGTGTACTGTTTTTTGCACGGTCATAAACTGTAAAAGGTCATATTTTGGGCCCCTCTTCAATATTGTTGAAGGGCCCTCATCTGTTTGGGGCCAGAATCTGTGACTTGCTTCTTTATCTCACATTTAGGGCCATTTTTACGTATCGGTTTAGCCCTATTTGTGTTTGCTGTTTGGCCTCGCTTAAAGCTGTAAACATGCTTGTTTTGGGGCTGCCTTGAATCTGTCTTCATACTTCATGTACAAATAATGCATGCTTGAGGTAGCTACAAGTCATTTCATGTGCTTAATCTTGCATTTCGGGACCATTTCATGCATCGGGTGCTATATTGTCATGATTCGGGGCTGTTTCGGGTCATATTTTAGCGTTGAAATTTGCATGTTTGCATATCATATTTTATGCCTTGCCATGTCTTGATAGAGTGACATTTTGTGCCTTAGGGTCGGTCCTCGGTTTGCGTGCACGTGTGCACGCATCTCGAGTGTCTCATTTTCATCTCATGGCCTCTTATGTGAGTGTGGCTGAGGTCCACTCATATTGGTCTAAGTTCATTGTGCATTGTGTATGCCATTTCATTTCATAGCATTGCGTATGTTAGGTTGTATGTTAGCGCATTGTGTATGCCATGTTATCTCGTGCATTGTGTATGCCATTTCATAGCATTATGTATGTTAGGTTGTATCTTAGTTGCATTCATACATGTCATGCATACTATATTGTGCTTGGGATAGGAGTTAGCCCGAGCACGGGAAACGAGGTACGTTTCGTACTCCGAGTGACGGAACGTGTCTCAATTCCCAGTCACCGACACTCCGGATTATCCATGATGGAGTTTAGGTTTTGTTGTGTTTATATGTGCATTCATTTCATATTGAGTCGTGCAATTCGACTCCTCGGCCATCATGCATCGATATGCGTGATTGGTGGCACGAGGACCAAGGACTACACTCCCTGAAGGGTAGTGTAGACGTCCCCGAACGCCCCGGGAGGAACGAGCTCCCGTTCTGTTCATTTGGGGTCACTACAGCTCAGGACTCTCAAATTATCATGGTTCTAAGTCTAAACCAAAGAGTCCAAATCCGGCAAATCGTTTTGAGAAAACAGATTTTGAAAGAAGTGCCAAACATGGACTGCTTTGCCAGATACAGAGTCGCCACCTAAATATTTTATTTTGGGAAAATTTAGGAAACCCTGACTCGTTTGCCTAAGGCCACGTGTCCGTCATCACCAAAGTTGCCTCGGCTCGGGAACTTGGGTACGATTGGGGAAGGTCACTTCGTGAGCCCCCCACCTCGCCCGATCAAAGATCGGCCTCTACTAACCATGATATCTATTTTTGAAAACATTATGCGTTCCCCGGCTCGGCACATCATACTAACTGCATTGTATTTTCAAATCCAAGTTGAATACATGTTAGCTGTAGCATTTCATATGCCATGTCTAGAATAGCCG